GGTAAGTAGTGAATATCCCCATAAAAGGAGTCCATTTTACAAGTATAAGACGATCATCTATACGGCAATATTGACATAAATATATATATATATATATATATATATATATATATATATATATATTTGTGAGAATTTTGTTTTCCCACGAAGTCTCAAGGCATTGCTTAGTAAAGGTCTGCTGAGGCACATGCTGCTCCCATTTGACCTGGCAGAGACGCCCAGAGTATCTGTTTCTTGCTGTCCTGATACCTGCTGTGACTGAGTTATTTGTTGAACTTCTCTGGCCTCTCTCGTTCATGTACCAGTTCACATGGTTACAATCTTATCTCCCTGTAGTGATTATTGTAACTGAGCACATATTGTTTGCCACAGTTCATCCTCTCGCTGACAGTTTTACAGAGAAGCAACTTAGTACAAGAAATTAGTTGAGAAATAGTAGATGCTGGATCTACCAGTAACCCAACACAGGCCTTGCTCAAAGACTCGCACTTATTTTTGTTTAACGGTTTATGAACATCGTCCGGTATTGTGTATTTGTTTTCACCAAGATCAATCACTGGGCAAAAATGTGTTAACCGTTTTCTGCTGGTAATGCCACAAAGTTAGTAATGATTAACAATTTAAACCTGGGCATAATATATATATTTTTTTGTAAATCGGATTTTATTTCGAGTTTTCAACAGAAAGAAATATCAGGGACACGTAGGTCCCACGAAATCAGAGTACACATAAAGTGAAGAACAAAACAATAATTAAAATGGACATAATACAAGATCTAGGTGTATGATCCCAAAAGTCTGCTAAGAATGTGTTCTTCCCAATCCTACCCCCAAACCCAACTTCTGTACATCATAAAGTAAGCATGTATTTAGGTTGGGATATGTAGGAACCGTAGGAAACTTCAGGGTAGTGCATAGAAAAGCCCAACATGGTTGCCATCCAGTACGAATGGTCAATAGCCAATTGCACATCATAGGTAGGCCAACGTAAAGGGATGTGAAAACTATCAGTGACCCAACCTGAGAGGGGAGTCAGCAGCAGCAATCAATAAACATATCCACTAATAGAGGTCTGTCCATCGCAAATATGTTGATTATCACTCAGCTGTCTGTATAAGAGTACCATGAAGTGCAGTGGGGTTCATATATTGTTGCTAGCAAAAACATAAGCGAGGAGTGTACACCACTCTCAGCTCAGCATCCCAAATAACCTCAGAGGTCAAAGAAGCTCCAGTCATATGTTAATAAATTCAAAATCCCCTCCTATTGTCACCCCTCCCTCACCTCATTTTTTTGGGGGTAAATCGTTTTATTAAAATTATATCTACTGGGGGCGGGCCTGACTGCAGAACAGAGCAGACGTGTGTTGCTGAAGCTCCTGCAGCCCCACGCAAACTAACTCAAATCCCACTAAGCAAAACTTGTGACCCGACTTTCTTTGGCTGCCAAGTGACTCAGGACACTGAGAGATACAGAATAATACCTCTCCCGAGGGTATACACCAAGGTCCCGACTAATCAGCCATTGAGGCCTACACACGAGGCAGACACGGGGGAGACGGCCGCTCTCCCATTGTCCCAAAGCACTGAAAAGCACTGCACGGCCACCGTCACCTCCCTTATGGACCAGTGGGGGTTATCCCAGTCCCCATCAATCCGGCACGCAAAGCTGCATGGACTGCAACTGACCACCCGGACTGGGGCCCTGCATATGCCGAACCCAGCAACATGGCGGATGCTGTTTCCGAACCTACATTCACAATACCCCAGCCTACCAGCCTGGACCTGATCTTCCAGAAATTCTGGGCCTGACTGGAACGACTCCTAGCTGGGCCCCCCCTTGCAAATGGAGAGGGGACGGAGGAGGAGAGGAGAAAGGGAAGAAGTGGGCTGATCCCGGGTAAAGCTTGTCCCTCCACACCCGCTGCAACCACTGTACACCCACCTGGACCAGAGGTCCCACGGAGACATTCTCCGAAGCTTCAGCCACCACGTCGGAAGCCCGCCCGCTACCAGTGGCCACGAAACACCAGGGCCACCCATGGCGCCCACACTGGGAAAGACATAGACGTCCGAGTCTGTGGCAAAATGAAGCCGACCCAACAAGAGGTCTGGGGCTGGGGAAAAGCCCCCCCTTCCTTGCAACCACTTAGCACCGTTCACTTCGTCCACACTCCAGCAGCCAAACGACCCAACAAAGGAATAGGCCGACGTATTGACCTGAACACTGGCCCACGTACAAGACCGAGCACCTGCATGGACTAACAATAGGAGAGGTATACACCTATGGAGATGAGTATTGCTCACTAACTGGACAGACACTGACTCTCAGTGACCATGTCAATTGACCCAAAACATTACCACCTCAAGCAACATTTGTTAAACAGTGCCTCTCTCCATACCTTAGCGGTGTTCAACTTATTTGGCTCAGAATCCTAGCCACCGGTTAGCCAACCCCTATGTTAATTATCATAACAGCAATTGCCGGGTCAATAACGCCACAAGTGTGCCCCTAGCCCGTAACTACTTGCAGGGGAACATTCCCCAAATGCTTAATCCGTAGCTTGCTGCCAAGTAAATATGTCTTGTGGGTAGCTTAACCCCTTAAGGACACATGACATGTGTGACATGTCGATTCCCTTTTATTCCAGAAGTTTGGTCCTTAAGGGGTTAAACTAATCAAACGTAACCTAATCTTATATCACAGTTAGACCTATCCTGTATTACTCAGTTAGCCTGTTACTATAAAACAAACAAAATGTTTAATCAGCCTGCTAACATAACTTTCTTTATGATATTGCCGACCTAGCATGATCATATACCAAAACAGCGTATGTTACTTATGTGACTTAATAATAACAAAAAAGTGCACGTCTCTCATATATCCCAATATAATACTTCCATGTAGAGTAATTGCCTTTGGGGTACCTCACAAGCGGATGTTCAATGTCTATGCACAACAAAAATAAAAAATTGAAAAAATAACTAAATAAATAATATATATATATATATATAATATAAATATATATATCTACTAGGTATCATAGAATAGTAGGAGCACACAGGCTCCTAAAGGCATAACTGTGGCAGAGCAATAAGTACAGAGTATCTAGTGCCAAACGTTGCAGGGTAAACATACAAGTGCATTGTGAAACTACCTGTCAATTAGATCGCTTGTGACAAAGGCGGCGCTGAACGTCTGCCCAACATGTTCAAATTGTGCATATATAAAGGAGGTAGATACTCCCCTTTAAGATTGATTCAGATTGCATTTACATATATATAGTATAGCTTTCCTTTCTATAATAGGTTCCACAGAAGCTTGCATTGCTAACCATGGAACTGACAGCCAGCTCCTAATAATCAGGTGGATTGTGTGAACTGTGTCAGTGATGTGAAGCGAATGGGCCAGGAAGCCCTGGTAGGTCAGCCACATCCCCCTCACACCCAGGTGCAAGTAGTCAGTAGTGTCAGTGTTGAGGGTCAACTCACTGTCATGCCTTTGAGTTTGTAGTTTTGTGGAATAAGAAAGGGAAGGAATGGAAGAAAAGCAAAAGGGAGAAGAAGTGGAGGAAAAGGATTATTCTTTGCGGTGAACGAGGAATGGAAGAATCAGAGTAAGTTATAGTGGGCTTGGGTTGTGGGGGTGTATGGGTCAGCCCTCATCTCCCACCCACCTGCAGCCGGGGCAAGATGTTCATTTTGAGAACTGCTAGAAGGCCCAGCCACAACAACTGCGGGTACATCCATCGCTTCATACCTTCCAAAACTTGATGTAGTAGGGGCTCATAATTAGAGCGATACAGATCATTCTGGTTTTCCAGGTGCCCAGGTATTTCATTTTCTGCGTGCACCACCGTAATGGGAAGTGCGGGCGTAGGTTTGCTAAATCCAATCACGCTGGCATTCCGTAGGTGATTTAGTAAGTAAAAGGTGCATTCCCAAGTAATCCATGCCCCTCCCCCAAGTGACTGTCTCACTACTGCCCCGTAGTTTGCTGCCAGTATCCCACCCCTCTGTGTCACACCTCCCCCCCATGAGCCCACCCCCCTGCCCTCCACCCCATTTTGCGAGACATATTCAGCTACAGTGTACTTCACTGCACCAGCCCACTCCAGGGTGGTTTGTGCAGCAGCCTCCCCAAGCCATATACTTACAGACGGTGCATACAGTGAAGCAAAACGTAAGGCACTGAAACATTTAATGAATAATAACATAATATCAAACTTGATGGGAAGGAAGGGGGTCTACCTCCTGGAACAGGGGGGGTGGCAGCTATTCCAAGCAAGTACATTGAATATGCCCGTGCCTGAGGCAAACCCATCATGAGGGGGCAGAAAGGCGTTGCAGAGATAGTGGTGCAAGCTGGCAGGAGCGTCACCCAGAGTCCCCAGCCCACCCAACATCAATTCCCCACCCCACCATGTAGAGGAGGATGCTAGTATCGCTGGTGAGCATCACACCACGCTGGGTACCTCAGAAACAAAAAAAACCCAGAAAACGGAAATGGCAATCACCAACCCTAATATAGCGGAGCGTGTAACAGGAGTCTCAACAGGAGACAGAGGGCCAACCCCAGTGTAAACCCCCACCCAAAGGTAGGACCGCTTGAGGCAGTCAATTGGTAGCTACAGTCTTAAGGCTCAGGTTTACCTCTGAGCATGTCAGAAACCTTCCGTGGGGTCGTCATGGTTACTCCTCCAGGTGTCCTGGGTCCGGGAGCCGTCGGGGCTGAGGGCCCCAGAACCCAGTTTACCACTGGCATCGGCGGCAGCTGTAGTCTGGCGAGGAACTCCGGCACATCCTCAGGCCACTTTATGTTGATCCAATAATTTTGATGGCGGACTGACAAACTGAATGGAAAACCCCAGCGATATGGTATCCTGTGTTCCTGGAGCATGGTAGTGACCGGCCTCAGTGCCCGCCTGGCGTCCAAGGTGAGCGGGGAGAGGTCATTATAGACAGCCACCTGAACGCCCTGCAACTCCCACGAGTTTCTGCTTTAGGCCTTAAGGATGATTGTTTCCTTCTGCTTGAAGGAACAAAAATAGCAGATTATGTCCCTGGGAACAAAGTTGTCTTGACCGCAGGCGTAAGGCACGTAGGCCCTCACAAAATCAAATGTTGCCCGTACAGCCTCCCCAACAATGGCTCGAAACAGGGAGGTGAGTATGAGTTCAACATCTTCGGGGCCGTTGGGTTCAGGCATGCCTCTCACCCGCAAGATGCACTGTTCACTGCGATTATCCAGATCTTCCATCTGGCGGCGCATCTCCAACAGCATGTTGCCCTGCCTTGCCAGTGCCTGATCAGTAGCGGCACCTGGGTCATGAAGTCATGAGTAGTGTGCTCCAGGGCCTGTATCTGCATCCCTTGCGCGGTCACCTCAGTGCGGATCAAGACCACTTTGGTCTTAATGGTGTCATGTAGCGTGGAGGTGAGGGTCTAGAGATCCTGTTTAGTTGCCGTCACGGATGCTAAGGATCGCAGTTCAGTGCATATGTTGTCCAGCGTGGCATGGTCCAAGCCCGCCAGGGAGGACGGTGGGGACGGCGCCATATTGGAATCCGATCCCACATGGCTGGTCCCGGCTGGGGTCTGCAAAAAGCCATCCAGGTGGCCTATTTGAGAGCTGGAATTCGAGCTCTTGGGAGTCTGGTGTGGATCACTGCAACGTGCTCTCCCCATTAGCGATTAAATAGGTTAGAATTGCGTTGATAAAGGGCTTATTAAGGGCTTAGTGGAGCACAGCCCTCAGGCTATGCTGCCATTCTGGTCAGAGTCCAAACCACGCCCCCTGGGCATAATATTTGTCATCTTTATTAGTCATAATAATAATAATTAGTAATAATAATGTCAAATAAAATAGAGATTTTGTAAACTTTCCCGATTATCTTACAGGTTGAAGGTTAACAACAGCCAATCCGATGCCACCACTTTCTTCCTGGGACCTGCTGATTGACCTATAAAAACCTTTTCAATTTTCTGCTTCCAGCCAAATGGCATTTTGGTGAACTGAAAAACCATTTAAAAATTCAGACTAAAATTGCTGACCTTTTTTTTAAATTAACTAATGGTTAGAATAATGAATATGGCATGAGGACATGGGTGCAATATGGTCCGTTGCATTGCATATTGTTTCCAAATACCCACATAAGAAGTGTAGGCAGTTTTGAGCTGGACACATACAGAGTGATTGTGGTTGGGGTATGTGCTGGACTGGCTGTTCACTAAGCATCATCTGTTCTACTACAGTTCTACCCTGTTGCTTTATCAGCATTGTAAGAGCATTCTGGGACATGTAGTCCACAACATCTGGAGTGTCAAAGAATGCCTACCCCTGTCCTACACCATGCAACCTAATTCTCAAACTAGGCAGAAACTGATAAAGGGCCTGGGAAACATGTATACCAGATCTACTTAACACACACTGTCAGTGTAACAATGTAACTACGTAATGAACTGGTATCATTATTTATTGGTTTACAAAAATATTTTCCAGGAATGATACATTGAGATTTCTCATGTGAGTGCTGTTTGTGATATATTTATCATGGTAGCACACATGGAGGTGCATAATGTGATATGGGCGTCATTTGCTTGCTGTAGGTTTGTATATGACTGACAAATATTTTATGTGATATATATACATATCATGATCTATACACCAAAACTGCTTTATTAAACTAAAGTGCCTATAGTATCCATTTAAGCACAGATCTGTTGCCGTGTCAATAGGGATATTGGTCATAACTCACAACTGTATGGGACTGGTATGTCTGTTCTGCTGCAGAGACCTGCCTGGCATTTCAGTTCTGGATTTTTATTTATTGTTGTTGACAAACGTGATCTGTTCCTGTCCTCAACAAGCAAGCAATAACTTGAATGAGATTTCCCGAATGGAGACCTTTAATAGAGCAAGCTATTAAGCGTTTGTCTATCCTCAGTGAGAATTTCTCATGTTTTATTTTCAACTTAAATCTAAAACACTATCTTCAATAAATGTTTAGAAAAAGGATCATCCAACCAGATGCCCTTAGAATGCCAGATGCAACCTAAAGATGTGCATGTGTGACCCCCAGCCTCCCTGTAAAGAAGAATTTGTCCTACTCTGTCTTTGGCTTTTCAGACTGTCAACTTGGAGGATACTGTTTACAACTTACCCCTGGAAACAAGGACAGTGCCGGCCTAAAATATCTAAAATATACTTCATTGGTTATATAAAAATTCTGTGTAAAAATTTTTTACTAAATTTAAAATTTGTATTCCAAAACATAATCCAAAAGATGATTTTTAAATTAAGTAACTTAACAATTAGCATCTGTAATAACATCAATGTTACCTTAAATTATATTTATTATTAAAAAAAAAAAGTCTTTACTTTAGACATGCATCTATTTTTATTATCCTTCTTTAAATGAGCTCTATTACATTAGCATCGAAGTGTTTCAAAGATGTCCAATATATTTGTGGTGAGTTATTGTTAATGTATTCCACACCAAGCTATACTGCAGCATTGTACAATGAATTGTTATTGTTAATCTATAAAGTGCCAATACCATTTCTCTTGTCGGCTATTAATATCACTATGAACACTGTTTACTTTACCAATTTCTTTTTTCAGCTAATAATTCCAACCTCAACCCATTTTAGCATTAAAATGACCTGAATTTATTGTATTTGGTAAAATATATTTCAGATCTCATATTCTTGTGCAATATTCTACTTGTATTTGTGTTGTTTACATATTCTTGTGCAATATTCTACTTGTATTTTGTATTGTAGTGATACGATGATGTAGAGCCAAAAACTAAAAAAACCTTTTGGTACTTAGAGTTTTTGAAGACTGGGCTATTCTGTAAAGTAGGGCTGACCGCTATTGGGCTCTCAGAGAGACTTACATTTTAAAACTAAAACTGGCACCCTGATGAAAAGACCAAAAAGTTCGAAACTGTGCAGTTGATGGTTAGTTTCTGATCGCGGGTCCTTTTGGATCATCTGTGCTTTGTTTTCTTTAAAAACTGTATTTAAAAAGGTGTACGCTAAGTATCGGTATCTGCACAAATGCATTATAAAGTCTGAAACACAATGCCTGTCAGTGCTCATTTGCATGTCAAGCTGAGAATTCTGGGATAGTTGTGGAAACTAGCCTGAGTAACAAGTGGTAGACATGAGTTATACTTATTATACCTCACTTAGATTATTATATGATTTATGTATGTGTTTGTTTGTACCTTTTCATACCTTTTGCTTCTATAGTGTGATTTGGTATTTGCAGAAGATCTGAATGAGCCTATGTATCAATGCTTTTAAAATACAGAGGGTTTTTTTGTTAAAGAAGCACAAAGTTCCGGATTTAGGGAAACGGTGGATGATTTGGTGATATGTAACAAGTGCTTTTAAGAACAGACAATGTTGCAAGGTTGTATCACATATTCGTCAAAAGATTCCATTGTCTCACTCTGGTTTCTCACAGAAATAAATTCAGTATTTTAACCCCTTAAGAACCAAACTTCTGGAATAAAAGGGAATCATGACATGTCACACATGTCATGTGTCCTTAAGGGGTTAATATTATTGGACTGAAGATCTTGAGAAAATACCAGTTGGGAAAGAATCTTTGCCAGTTGAGTCTAATCTTTGGTACCAAAGTTACAACATTTTCTTAATGCTGGCTGAACATTGTGAATGAATGCCTAAGATTAGCTATTGTTAATGTATGCCAACTTGGCATGTGCATGCCCAGCTTTGGGTATTATCATGGCAAAGGCCTGTAATAACAGGTGAGAATAATGAAAATGGTACTGTGTGATTATACTATTGATTAGTCTACTGAACACTAAATCTATCCACGAACTGTAGAAAGCATGCCAAAGGCAACAAAGACAGCCTTATGTATAACATGTTGACAGAATAGAACAAATGATGGAATTTTCATTGAAATTTGTTATTTAGTACATGGTAAATTATTTATCATATACTTTTTTGTAGCATATCTCCAGTGAAAGAACTGATCAAAAAGCATTTTGTCAGAACTGTAATTAAAGGGCACCCACAATATTTTAATCATTTTTATTCATAACATAGATTATAGCCTTAAGAAGTATTGAAATTGAAAATTCTGAATGCGTGAATTTTTCAAGTAGCAATATTTCCCCCACAGTATTGCAATTAGTCATCTTTCTATTTCCATATTATTTTTTAAAAAAAAAAGTAAATGTTGAAGATTACATTTACAATTGTAAAATAATAAAGGAATGTATTAATATTCCCATCACATAGCAGTCGTATCTGCTGCTAAATTAACTCTTTTTGTTTCTCACAGTAGACATACGCACGTTTTCTAAGACTAGGATCGTCCAATCGTGTTTCACCGCTAAGGAAATGACAAAAGAGCTGCCATCTTGTACTCAGTCACATATCATATATCAAATCAAAAAATAGCTATAATGTGAGATTCCGTTCAAGCTCATGACCTATTTTCATTAAAACAAGCAAGCACACTGTATGCAATTATAATGGAGTTTATTCACTAAACAGTGCTTTGTAGTGATTTGAGAACTGAATTTCCAAATTTAGGCCAAAATAAATAAATTATTTAAATTGTTACCGGCCTGTATATCATTTTATTTTTTTTATAGTGCTAATGAAAAGAGCTTATTTTCCTTTATTTTTCTGTTATAGTACCAGTCTTTTATTGTGATTATTTACATGATATGAAAACGAAATTTCTTTTCTTTTAAGTGTATCATATACAACGTACAGCGTTATGGAAAATGTGTGTGCTTCATAAATTAAAAATGATGGTATTATAGATATAAAATAACCACACCACAAACAGACAAATATCACACAATATATGGATTTTAGAATGTCATTTAGGATGAACTAATGGAAAAAAATATACATAAACATAACACTAGGCAAAACCGTACACATGGAAGTACACATTTTATTTGATTTAAATATGATTGGGGAATGGGGATTCATTACATTAGGAATTAGGAAACAACAAATCTTGCTAAAAGGCAATCATGTTAGTTAAAACACCTAATGACAACCCTCCTGGGTCTCTTATAAACTGCTGGATTCCTTCTCAGTAGCACCACTGGAGGCCTGGTAGCTACACCTATAAGCTTAACCTACCTCAGATAATATAAATCTTATAATAGACAGCTATGGGGCCCTGTGATATCAACTACAGTCATTGTAAAGCTCTTTGTAATTATTTAGAGGCTCTGAGGGACAGCTTTGCATCTAATAATTCCATGT